ACTCGCGCGCGTGAGAGCGCGTGAACCGTCCGATTTCCGATCGGTCAACACCGTTGACTTCGCCGTGACGTCAGCTTTCTGGATTGGTCAAGTTTGTTCAATTTCGAGAAGATTTGATTTGCGGTCAACTGTACGGGCCAGCCAGATCTACATAAATTTTAAGCAGTAAGTTTTCTTCATCAAACCTTTAGATCCGCTGCACATAGGTTTATGTTGATTGTTTGTCCGTGATTTGTGCATATCGAGATCCTCATATGTCCCAACACAATCAACAACATCACTTATCCTCAATACTGGTACCTTCAGAACACATGGTTCTGTTTGATACCGTTGACAAAGCCCCACTCTTTGCCGACACGAGCAACATCTCGTATGCGGTTTAGGAAGTAAAGGCTAGATACTCAATAACAATTTCCTTCCATAGAGTCGGTCTCTAGTTGAGACCCAAGGCTCCGCCCCACATTACTAAGGAATCTACTATCTCGCCATCTCGAGAAAATCTCGAATGTGGCAAGTAAACTAATCGACTAACCTCATACACCGGGTGTTGTTGATTAGGGCATTCACACAATGAATCTAAAGATCAACATACACTTTGACCAAAAATCTGGTTAAAAGACCCCCTAAAAGGACAAGGTTGGACTGAGTTTAATGCACTCACCCGAGAGGTGACCCACACGCTGGCGCTGCATATGCGGGGCGCTGGGACACGTGCATGTACCCACTCAGATACCAGCTACAAGGTCAATGTTTGGTCGTACACACTGACCTAGGGAGTTCGTGCGTTCGGTGATGGCGACGGCAGCTCTCGTGCGAGTCAACGATCGGCCACTGCAGTTGGCCTCACGTCTCTCAGCACGGGCGTGCGGGCTCGGCCATCATTTCGCGTGGCTGCACCCAGTCAGGTTCGGCACTGGGTTCAAGGCACATACCGGAAAATTTACTTTTCAGGTTTCACAATTCCCTAAGTACTCCGATAGGACAAAGGGTTTCTCCACAAGACTAGAACCTACAAAGGTGTGGGTTTGACAGCAACAATTTCCCAAAAATACTCGAACATGGGCATCACTGCCAGTAACAATCCTAAGTCGGCAACGTTGAACAACAAAATGGTTAACTCGTTTGACTCTTCCGACCCACAATGTCGGCCGTCACGACAGCTTTTACTCAAGTAGCTAATCGTGCCGACAGTCCTAAACGAGTTCAACTCTAATACACTGCCTATGGTTTTCCACACTTCGAGATCTTAGCGTAAAGCTTCTCTCATAAGTGTTACCAGTCAGCACTGGTATAACAACGATAGAATTGATTCACATAGGGCACATAGGCATGCATATTGAAGATAACACTTATTTTTGAAACATAACTCATGTTTATCGAAATAGCACAGTACAACATCCTATAATCAGGTTTAACTTGTAACATATACGTCACATAAGCATGATTCTTGAATAATACGAATCCTAAAACATGCGGTACAATTTTCATTTAGATCACGAAAGCATACAAGGGCATTCAGATGGTGAAGTGGAAGCTAACACACAAATCTAAAATGCCACTTGAAAATGGAAAACATCTTATACATGAATTCAGTAAGTCATGCATATTTCGAACTATGATCATGATAAAAATATGATTCAAGTATAGACAGAAAGCTAAGGAACAAGGCTTTAACGTCATGTGATCACATATTTAAGCAAACATTTAAATCATGATCGCAGCTCAAAGTAGGAAATAATCATCTTACAGAGTTTCAAAAAATTGAGAATTTTATAAGCTACAGACACCCAAATAACATAATTCAAGACTCAAATTAAACCTAAGGCATGCATCTACAATTTTATTTTTTTTTTACTGAAGAACTTAGGAGCAAATGACGAAATTTAACAGGTCATATTTTGACTAACATTATGAACCTAGCTGCAGTCCGAGAAACCTAAACATGTGGTGTACAACTTCAGAAAAATGGACATAACTCATACTACACATAACATATTAAAATGATTCATGCATCATTAGGAAGCTAAGAGATAGCCCTACAACATTTATTTAGAACACAGGAACATATAAGGTCATTCAGACTGAGTGAAAGAAGTTAACATTTAAAATAAAGTTCCTGCCAAAAGTACAACCCTACCTCATGCAAATCTACATTCATTTGAACACAACTCGAGCTACAGAGCTCGTATCAGCATGCACTATACCTCAAAAGAAAGCTAAGAAATGCACCTATAACTTTCATGTTGATCACTGAATCCAACAACAATATTAAAACCGAGTTTAAGCATAAAACACTTAGGTCAAGAAATGCCAACGAAACTATTTATAAATTTGCAGCAG